CGCGATTTTGAGTTGATCCGGAGCCTGACGAACTGATGGGATTGGAACAAGGGGGGACATAGATCAGAGAAACGAAAATGCAGGAGGAGAGGAGGCGAGGAGGAGAGGAGAGGAGGAGAGGAGGAGAGGAGGAGAGGAGGAGAGGAGGAGAGGAGGAGAGGAGGAGAGGAGGAGAGGAGGAGAGGAGGAGAGGAGGAGAGGAGGAGAGGAGGAGAGGAGAAGGCAGGAGAAGACGAGAATCAGAAAAAGGAAACGAAGAGGAGGAGATGAAGAAATGGAGAGGAGGAGATGGGGAGGAACACTCCAGTCTCTTGCTCACCTGCTCAGTCCGCTCTCCCCACGAAAAGATGCTTGTCTCCAACTCAAACTCGTCTTCTCCGCACTCCGTCTCCTCGAGCTCCCTCCCTCTCCCACTCTCGTCCTCCCCTCCCTCCCTCCTCCACCTCCCCTCCCCTTCTCCCCCTTCCCTAAAGTGAGATTTGCAGACCCTCGAAAATTCTTCTTCCTCCTCCAGCGGCCTGATCCGCCGAACTATGTACATGTTGCCAGGAAGCAGTGAAATCTCCTCCCCCTCCCCTGCCACCTCGCAAACCTCCTCCTCGTTGCTCTCCCTCCTCCCTGTCCCGTACTGAATTCTCCTCACAAACACGAGCCAGGGCTTCTTCCTCCTGGCCTCCTCCTCCTTCTCCTCCCCCTCCTCGGCTCCTTCCTGACCCGCTCCTCCCTCCATCTTCCTCCTCGCCTCCTCCCTCGCAAGGACCCGGGGGGGCGTGTACAGCTCCGAGTGCAGGTCAATCCGCAGCTTCACCTCCTCCTCCTCGTTGTGGTTCCTGTACACGACTCGATCCCCCCACACCTCCCTCGAGAACCCTCCGGCCCGCAGCTGCATCAGCTCCGACTCGGTCACGAACACCATCCTCGGGTACCTCCTCCTCATCCACAGCACCAGCTCCACCACCTCTCGTATCCTCCTCATTACCTCGGTCCCGTTGGAGGAGGACGAATGAAAGTTCTGTGCGTGCACCTGCACGTTCACCAGCCCGTCCTGCTCCTCCACCGTCCACCTGACCAGCTCCCGCGCCCTCGACACCGAGAGCGGGAGGCAGCAGGGCTCGAACCCGACGCGGAGGGAGGAGAGGAGGGGAGGACCAAGGTGCGAGTTGTCAAGGCCGAGGAACCCACGCTCAAACAGGAAGTCGCCGGAGGAGGAGAGGCAGGCGTGATGCGGCATGGCGGCAACGAGGGGAGGAAAGCCCCAGAAGCGGAGGAAGGAGGAGAGGCCTTCCTCCATCCAAGAGTTGATCACCTCCGGGTCGTTCTCGCTCACCCCAGGGATCGCATGCTCCCTCACGTGCTCGCTCAGCAGCGATCGCAGCTGCCCGCCCCTGCCCTCCTCCTCCTCCTCCGTATCATTGCAGAACACCATCCCCTGCTCAAAGAACTTGCGGCAGGTCTCGTCCTCCCTGAGGTACTTCACCCATGCTCTCACGTCGAAGTGCGATCGCCCATGGTACTGCGGGTGCCAGACGCCCTGCTCGAACCCGCTCCTGTACAGCCTCCGCAAGTCACCTCTGCAGTAAGGCCAGGAGGAAGGGGCGCCTGTGGTGTTATGCAGCAGGTTCTCAGCATAGGAGCAGCTCTCCCCGTCAGGGCATCCCATCGCGCGCATCCTCTTGTGGTCCGGTCCTCCCACCACGAAGTAAGGGGAGAGGACAAGCTTCTGCTCCTCCCTGCACCCCTCGTTGATCCCCTCCACCATGTCGAACAGCCGGTATAGATCGCTCGCCTGCTCCACCGTCGCCCTGCCCCACGCTCCCGGGTCCCACCCTCCCTTCTCCGTCCTCTCCAGATCCTCCTGCCGCGGGAAGATGGGGATGGTGTCCGCTATTCTCCCCCAGTCGTCGCTCCCGAAGGCTACAGCGGGCCATGGTATCACCAGATTCTTCCTCCCCTCCTCCCATGCCTCCCCTCCCCCCGCTCCCCTCCCCTCCACAGCCGCGCTGGATATCAGGAACCATGTCGTGTCCTCTGCCACTGTCTTCCCGTCCTTGTCCTCTACCTTCACCGTCAGCTCGCACACGCCGGGCGCCATCCCCGCGAGGGTCACGGAGGGTTGAGTTGTGTGCGTCTCAAGCATCATGCTCCTGTTCACAAACATTCGAGCGCTCTCCTCCACCTTCGCCCCCTCAACCCTGTAGATGATCTGGACGGTGTCTGTATGTAGCACAGCATACTTCCTCGGGCTGAGGATCCTGACGGTAGCAGGCGAGCGGGGAGTCAGCGAGCAGCGCACGAGCCCGATCAGGCAACAGCACGTTAGCAGACGACAAGCACTCATGATGGAAGGGATGTACTATAGCGAACTAGACATCGCTTCCTGTTCCCTGTCCTCCCCTCCTCCTCCTTCCCCTTCCTCCTCCTCCTCCTCCTCCTCCTGCCAACATCGTGCCCAGTTCTCCGACTCAATCAGTAGTCCTGTTCTGACCGGCTCTAAGTTGGTCAGACAGACGGGTGGGGTGGTACATACGATGTACTTTCCCGGGTGGGTAGTACATTATAGGGTAGTCGGGTACTTCTCTATTAATGTGATGGTACGGAATGAGAGGGTGGGTATTGATCATACGGGTAGTGGAAACAGTGGGGTGGTGTAGTCAGTTTGGGTACTGGCGACATGGCGGGAGAAGGGACCACCGCAGTGGCAATCATGGTAGGAGGAGGAGGCGAAGGAGGAGGAGGCGAAGGAGGAGGAGGCGTGCGAGAGAAGTGAAAGTGAAAGGAGAGGATGGAACGTTGGACGGAATGGCTGGAAGAGGAGGAAGCGAAGATTCAAGGCAAGACAGAGGTCTTGTCCTGTTCAGATCAACAGGAAGTTGATGATAACAAATATGCCGGTGAGGAACAGGAAGAAGCAGAGAGAAAGTAGCAGGAGCGAAGCGATGACAGAAGAATGTAGTTGGTGCATTGAGGGAAAGTCCGAAGCCTCTGGGATGGAAAAGGATTTCGGTGAAAGCTGACTGGTCGCATTTCGCTCACGGGACTGTTCAAGGCTGCGATCTTTCATCTGTGTGCGTTCGCGTCCATCTTCGACATCTATTTTCGTTCGCCGATCGTCAATGGTGCCTCCTCCTCCGCTTCCCCGCCCCTCTCCGCCGCCACAGCAAAGTTTCCCACCTGACTGCTTATCTCCTTTCTGCCCCACACTCCCTCCTCCTCCTATCCTCCTCCTCTTCCTCCTCCTTCTCCATCTCTCCCTAGGTTCATCATCCAGACTGAATGAGAGGACAGGGTTTGACTCAGTCGACACATGGGATGATCCTCCTGCAAAGAGACTGGTCATCATCGGTAGGGTTGACGAGCTTATGTATGCTTTTCGCTCATGGTGAGCTCAGTTGGCGACGGAGGGCGAGCCGACATGCTCTTCGACGAGAAGATCGACGCCGATGGACCCGCAGCTCGTGAGATCCTCCTCTCCCTCTTGCTTGCCTCCTCCTCCTCATCCTCCTCATCCTCCTCATCCTCCTCATCCTCATCCTCCTCCTCCTCCTCTCCCTTCCTGCTCCTGCATTTCACTTCCTGCCTCATTGATTGACACTTGGAAACAGCATGGATGCAGAAGAAGATCCTTGCAGGAGGAGCCAGTTGGGGAGTCTCGCACACACGCGTACCGACGGAATCCCGTCCATGTCATGCTTCGCTGCTGGGGGGGATCTATGAGGACCCGTCAGCTGTTACCAAAGTAAGGAGCAGCAGCACCAGCACCAGCACCACCACCAGCAGCAGCAGCAGAATCAGCATGAGGATGAGGAACAAACAAAACGAGCAGGAGCAGGAGCAGGAGCAGGAGCAGGAGCAGGAGCAGGAGCAGGACAATTATCATTGAAATGCGATGTAGCTGACGTGATCTGGGATGAAGAGGAGAAGGGCGTGAGGCAGTCGAGTCTTGACGGGTGTGAAAAGCACTTCGTTGAGACAATGGAGCACATTCAGAGAGAGAATGAGCGTTAATGGAATTGTCAATCTGAGACAATATCGATATATCCTTGATCTTGAAGTCCTGTAGATGATGTTATGATACGAACGTATCATCTGATGACAAAGTATCATCATATGATTAGTTTGCCATCTGATGATAGACTTGCGGTATTCTCCTTCTACAAACTCACCTCCTTGTTCTGCTACAGGGGTGGCAGCAGAATCCTGTCGAGTTCGACACCGTAGGACAAGGCGGGACGGTGGGGCCGTGGCCTCTGACACGTTGGCAGGTTCTGAACGCGAGCTCTGCTTCCTTCGCTATCGGCTCACCGGACGTGATCCCCTTGTTTGCTAAGGGGATCCCGCACGTGACATCAGTGAGATGCTTCTTAGACTGCCGTTGACAGGGCGTGACGACCCCGATCGCTAGATGACGTATCCTCCTGAGTGGGAAGATTTCTCCTCCGGGTCTGTAGATCTCCTCTCTCATTTGAACTTTTCGATGACGAGTTCAATGTCCTTTCGAGTTTTCCGCCTTTGTGTTGCGGGGGCTCCAGCGGTCTCGTCTGAAGTTTGTTTTGTGCAGCTGCGGCTCAAAGGAGCGGGGGTGCAGGCGAGCAGCCGCGATGAAGTTCTCAACACCCTGACGTTGACATCTCAAAACTCGCAGGAGGCTGGACGACTGGGTCTTTGCCAAACTGGAAGAGCTGCTGAAGAACGCAACGTCGGACAAGGGTTGGTCCCGCAGTCATGGCTGAGATGACGAAGGAGAGCTGGTGACCCTGTGCTGCAGGTCTGAATCATCGCCTTCGACAGGACAAGATGATTATATTCCTGCACCTGCTGGTGAGAGTTGTTGTGATGCAACACAGATGCGAAACTGATGCTTTAATTGTCCTGTCCTGTCCCGTTCCGTCTTGTCCTGTCCTCCGCCCGCTCCCTTCCCCCTCCTCCCTCCTCCCTCCTCCCTCCTCTTCTTGGTTACCAGGGTCTCGATATGAATGGTCATGCTCATCGGCCAGCGTCGCAGCAATACAAGGATAATCTTCGGAGTGTCGACGAGGTTGAAAGACCTTCACATTCTCGGCCCTCACGTTCTCATAGACTGTCTCCGCAGGGTGTGAAGAAAGTTGAACAACTGTTGGATAATTTCTTCCATAGAGACGGAAAGACGGTAAGGACTTCACTGAACGAAACTTGTCTTCATCCCGCTGCCTTCGATTGTTTCATGACCAGCGCATTTTCTGCCTTCTTTCTCCTTTTCTTTCATATAGGCTTATCTCTTCACCTCCGATCATGGCATGAGCAACAAGGTGTTACTTTCCCTTCTGTTCGTAGCCTCGCCCCTTCTCTCTGACTCTTCCGCTTCCTTTTTTCTGACTCTTCTATTCTGCTCCTGCTCCTGCTCCTGCTCCTTCTGCTGCTACTCCTCCTCTTCCTCCGGCGGTGGCGGCGGGTGCTGCTGCTCTTGCCCCTGCTCCATCTCATCCGTCTCCTCCCTTCTTGTCATCATCCTCAACTTTTCTCAGGGGTCACACGGCGACGGGGAGGCAGAGTGCACGCAGACGCCTCTGGTCATGTGGGGGGCAGGAGTGAGCAGAACTTCTGCGAGGAAGAGCGTGGCGCCCGGCCATGAGGACAAGCATGCGAACCCCAAGACTCCTGAAGTAGGAGGACAGAGAGAGAGAGGGAGAGAGGGAGAGGGAGAGGGGCAAGGGAGCGAGGGAGCGAGGAGGAGGAAGACAAAGAAGTGGTGATGGATGAAGGAGGGAGGAGGAGAAAGAGATAAGGTGGATAGTTGAGGGGGGTCAGGGTTGGAGGAGGTAACGATAGCAGTGGCAGCGGGGGGTCAGAGGGAAGGAGGAAGGGATGGGGAACTGAATTGACTGGTAGGCATGGGGAAAGCTGAAATACGTGGAGAGAAAAGACCTGCAGCAAGCACAGGTCAAATCCCTCTCCCTCTCCCTCTCCCTCCCTCTCTCCCTCTTCCTCGCTGCCCCCTGCTCCCTCCCACCCCTCACTCCCTCACTCCCTCCTTCCCTCCCTCCTTTCCTCCCCGTCTTGTGACAATGATAACAAACGAGACAGATTGCTCCGCTCATCTCAGTATTGATTGGAGGTGACCAGCCTCCTTCTGATCTTCCCATCCCCATCTGCGTTATCCCTCCACCGGCCGTCTTTACTCAAACTCCTCCCCACTTTCCCACTGTCCTCCTCCTCCCCCATTCTGTCGCTGACCTCTTCCTCCTCCCCTACTGCAGCTCAGCTTCCTCGCAACAGCATCGGCATCCTCCCTCTCCAGTACTTGGACCTTTCTCCCCAGGACCCTCGTCGTCTGCTCCTCCTCCTCGCCAACGCAAAAGTCATGCACGCGCAGGTAAGTCCCTGAGCTCCTTTGTTTCTACCTCCCTCCCTCCCTCCCTCCCTCCCTCCCTCTCATTTCCCTTTCCGTCCTCTCCCTCTCCCTCATCCTCTCCCCTCCCCTCTTCCTCCTCAATCTCCATTGGCCTTGTTCTTGACCTCTCCCACTCCCTCTCCCATGACCCATCCACTTGTGCAGCTGAAGAGGAAGGAGGAGGAGAAGCGTCAGTCGAGCTTCAGCCTTCTCTTCAAGCAGTATCGTCCCATTCGGGTCTCTTGCTGTCTCTGCTGCCCCTCCTTGCTCATCGACCAGCATGTAGGACGGGAGCATCCAGCGCGCCATCGAGGAGTGTGAGGAAGGAGCAAGAGAACGTCGCGCCGATCTCCCACAGCTGGAGGCAGAAGTTCATCGCGTCATACAGCTCCTCCTTCAAGGGCTGCTTTACTATGACACCTACGACCGGCACTTCCTCCAGGTTCCCACCCCCCCTCTTCCTCCTCCTCCTCCTCCTCCTCATCCACCAACAACAACAACAACAACAACTTGTACCGTTGCTCCTTACTGCATTTCCCTTTGTGTTCTCCTTCATTCTCATCTGCGCCTCGACCTCCCTTCAGCTTGCTGCCTCTCTCCTCCTCTCTCATCGCTCCTGGCAGGCTCTGATCATTCTCGCCTACATGGGAGGGATGA